CGCTTCCGGGCTCGCGTCGGCCCGGCCATAGGCCACACCCCTTGGCCCGCCTCCCGGCCGGAGCCAGTTACCACGCCCCGCCCCCGGGCTCTCCTTCCGGCCCCGCTCCTGCCCCGCGCGGCCCTACCAGGTCCCGCCTCGTACCCGCCTCCCGTCCCGCGTCGGCCGGGCCACAGGCCCCGCCCCTGGGTCCGCCTCCTGGCCCGCGCCGGCCTACCAGGCCCCACCTCGTACTCTCCTCCAGAGACCCCGCCCCTGCGCCATCTTGGCTCCGCCCCGCCCCCTCCCGCGGTCCAGAGAAGGCTCTCGGCCCCCGGCCTGGTCGCCGCCGCCGCGCCCGCTGGTTTGCTGGCGGAAGCCTCATCCACAAGACCCCTCGGGGCCTCCAGGAGCCCCCAGACAGCGCCTCGAGGGGCCTCCGTTTCTGGCCTGCGGAAGGAACTGGAGGGGAAGTTCTGGGAGCTGCCTGGGCTCCGGGAAAACCGTCGTAGCCTGTCGGGCGCTTCTTCTCCCTTCCTGCAGCCGCTTACCAAGTAGTGAGTGGCAGGTGGCTCTGCCTTTTCAGGTCACGGATGGACGGGGCCCGCTGCTCTGCTCTTGGGCACAGGATCCAGCGCCACCAGCTTTCAGGATCCCTGTCATCTCTGGAACGCGAATAAGACTTAAACGCATCGCTTTTCATTTTTAAGACAGCTTCAGTATTTTGTCTGATTTTCCCCTAATACTGTAGGCTCTGACTAATGCATTTTAAAGCTGGATCTTTTTGTTTGTTTCTTACTTTAAAAGAGCGTGGACAGAGATGCTTTCGAATTACACGAGTTTTAAATGGCCCGACCTGCTGATGTTTCTTTTAAATTGTTAATTATGTAAAAACATGAAAAAAGACACTGTACTTGTAAGATAGTCACACGTTGTACAACGTTCCAAACATTCTGCTCCACCCCACAACTGGCCTCCAATCAAGCCGTTTGTCACATATTGTATACATTTTTCTGTACATTTTTAAACATGAAAATGTCTCTTGAAATGTGTTTCATATAAATCTTGTTATATGTAGGTCTATGGCAACAGAGTGTACATATTGGTAAACATTTTGACTCCTTAAGTGTTTTCACTTAGCAATATAACGCGAACTTGCTTTATGCTTCGGCATAGCATATTTGCGATAGTTTATTTCTCTATTACCCTACTGATGGACACTTCTTCCCAATTTTTCTATTACCAAAAGAAAAAAAAATAGCCACAGTAAACCTCTTTATTCATGCCTTATGTTATGGGCTGAATTGTATCTCCCCCAGATTTCATATGTTGAAATCCTAATCCCAGTACCTCAAAATGTGACTATTTGGAGATAGGGGTGCTACCGAGGTAATTAAGTTAACAAGAGGTTGCAAAGATTGGTCCCAGTATGCCGTCTTTTTTAAGAAGAGGAAATTTGGGGGTCGTCTGGGTGGCTCAGTCGGTTAAGTGTCTCCCTTCGGCCCAGGTCATGATCTCGTGGTCCATGATCTCGTGATCCCCTTGTGGGGCTCTGTGCTGAGAGTTCAGAGCCTGGAGCCTGCTTCAGATTCTGTGTCTCCCTCTCTCTCCTCCCCTACTCACACTCTGTATTTCTTTTTCTCAAAAATAAACAAACACTAAAAAAATTGGAGAAAAAAAGAAAAAGAAAGGAAATTTGATCATAATCCTACAGGGTAGAGATCATGTGAAGACACAGGAAGAAGGTGGCGCTCTACAAGCCAAGGAGAGAGGTCTCAGAAGAAACCAATCCTGCCAACACCTCCACCGGGGACTTCTGGCCTCCAGAGCAGTGAGAAAATAAAGTCCTGTTGTTTAAGCCACCTGATCCGCTCTACTCCCTGGCAAACTAGCATATCCCGCTTGGATAGGATTGGATCCGTGGTAGGCTGCATATAACAGAAAACTGAGTTTCTCGTAAAGTGGCTGAAACAAGACAGAGGGCTTTGTTGTTAACTGTTTCATTTTTCTTTCGCAGAAGCGGTTAGAAACGTAAGCGTCTAGGGCTGGTAGTGTACCTCGGTCACCGGGCACCCAGCCTCTTTCTTACCCTGCTCCGTGATACTGGCTGCTGGTTTCTACCCTCAAGTTCACGGCAAGTGCTGGGATGGCCCCTGGAGCACCTGCGTTAGGATGACTTTCATCCAGGGGAAGGGGGAAGGAAGGAGGGTCAAAGGGGCACACTTTTCTAGGGAGCTAGCTTCCTTTAAGCAGCCTGCGTGGATAGCCACACGTGTCTGCTCACATCTCATTGGCTGGAACCTAGCCCCCCGAAGGATGCTGGGAGACTGTCTTCTAGCTGTATACGTTGTCACCCCAAATAAAAGCGGGATTCTGTTACCAAGGGACGAGAGGAAGCGGCTGCTGAGTAGACAGCTACCTAACAATGCAGGCAGCACCTTCTCTCCCAGGACCGTTGTTGTGTAAACTCTCTCCCCCAGCAAAGGCACGCATGCGTGCATCGTTATGTATACAGTCTATGACATTTTCCGTTGACATGGAGCAGAAACTCACAAGAAAAAGAGGGTTTTTTTCCTTTTCTTCTCTGAAATCATAGGGGAAATGTCATAAGCTTTCTCCCCAGGGCTCCACCCAGTGGCTCACAGCCCTGTCCCGGTGCAGTCATGCTAAAAAACATGAACAGCTGTGGTCGATCATGTGCTCCGCTGGGAGGGGTCACCCTGCTCATTTATTTTGCCAGCTGCCAAGCTAAGGTGCGAAAGTGCTGAGATTCCTGGTCCACGGTGTCTGGTTATACAGAAAGAAAAAAAAAAAGTCATTTACTGTTTCACAGATACTAGTGGGATTGTGTGAAAAATTCCGGGGCTACTGACTTTCATCGAAGGCACAAATCAATTCAGTCTATAACCCACTGACTTTTGTGAAAACATCTGCATTGACTGCTGTCACCGTTTTGGTGTTTGGAACTTGAGTCAGTTCAACTCTGCGAGCATTTATTTTCTAAGGGCCTACTGTCAATCAAAAACCAGATGAGGCATTGGTGGCAAGATCCCTGCGCTAAAGAGCTGGCCATCTAGCAGAGGAGATAAACAATACACAGTCAGTATAATGCAGATTACCGGGGGTCACGGCCCAAAGGTAATCACTGAGACACTCACATAGTTAAACGGGGAGCCATGGGTAAGAGCCACTGAAAAGGAGTCTGGAGGCAGGAATTACTCAGGAATGCTCAGATGGGGTGAGATAGGAGTCCGACCAGGTCTTAGGCAGTGCTGCGGGGCAGGAGAGGAGGGAACAGAAGCGAAAGAGTTTTGCATGGTTAGGGGCTAAGTGAAGCCACGAACTTCTCAATGCTTTCGGGTTTCATACCCACCTCTCCTTTCAGCGGTTCAGTGACTGCAGATTGTACACTCGAGTCTCAGATCTAACCGGTGTCCTCATCTGGGTTTATCCTGGCTTGTGTCCTCAACAGCAGAGGAGGGATGCCTCAACCGGAGGCTGCGCCGTTCTGGCAGTGTTGGGAATCGGGGCGGGCATCCGGGCAGGGGGAAGAGGTTAGTGATGTTCAGAATGTTGAAAAACTGGAATGGAATACTGACTAACAGAACTGAGGCCTGTAACCTGAAAGGTACCTGTGGTTTGGGTGGTTTGGGAGGCTCTGGTGTGCCAAACATTAACCCTTTAAAGACTGAATCATGGGGAGGTAAGGGAGGAGGGTCCTGGGGGTGGGGCTAAGTTGGAGATGGGGAACAATGGTTATTTACCATTCCTGACTTTTGCCACTTCCTAGCCCAATGCAAGAAAAGGCGAAACATATCTCACGGGCTTTACCTGCCCCTAAATTTATTCACAGACAGCAACTACTCGATTCTCTTTTGGTAGCACTCCCAGATTTCCAGAGGAGAACGTGATTGGCCCAGGCTAGGGTGAGAGTCCATTCCT